CTCCTCTCTCTCTCTCTCTCTCTCTCTCTCTCTCTCTCTCTCTCTCTCTTTCTCTCTTTTTCCGATTGTGTTAATAAACATAAATATTTCACGCGGCCACATGATCCACTTTTCGCCGAACAAAGCTTCCCTTCTTCCCTCCCACGACAAACATCCGTTCGTAAACAAGGAAACTGTGTTGGCTGACTCAGCATTGATACTCCGCGAATCTCGCGGCCTCTTTTACTCCGATTCTTTTTTGTAAACGTGCGTGGGCGTGACAATAAAAGAATTTATTTTATCTTGTATTTTATCTTGTATTTGTCACACAATCTATTATTTTGCAATTATATAATTATATCGCAATCTTATCTATGTATGTTTGTGGGTCGTTATTTTCGGACTTGCCTTCGGAGGATAATAATCTCCCTAGTGGTACATAAATATTATAAAGAGACTTTGGTCCCTCTAAAAGCGCAGTAAATATGATACAACAACACATGATTCGACCTTCTAATCCCGTAGTTATCGCGTCTTCTTTTCTCTCTGGGCTCACAGAGAATTGCACGATCGCTATGTGTGATCCTGAACACGCCATAATTATTTTCCGGCTGCACGATTATTTGTGTCAGCGCATCTAACCGTTCTAATATCGTATCACAACGCGGCGAGTGCGCAATCGGCGTGTTTTTGCAAAAAAATCATATTAAAATAATAAGATAATGGAAATGCAGATACGGCGTCTGACGGCATCTCTTGTGCAATATTTCGTCTCGCACAAATCTGTCGTGACTGCACGCTCGCGATGCGCTTCTTCTTTCTCTTCATGCGAGAAGAGAAGGGTATAAAATTTTCTCGGGGATACACAAAAAGAGCGGTCGGCGATTATTTGCGGACGTGCTACATCCACTCTCATTGTGGGTCATTGCGTCGAACCACGAGTCTTTCTAAACCCGCTGCGAGACAGTGTAAAATTAGCTTCCCAGACGGGCGACTGGCCGATGCTTCCCTCACGATGAGTGAAAACATACGTACGTACCCCCGAGAATCGAGTCAATGACACGTGGAACACGAATCTTTGTGTATCAAACCCGAATTGCCGAATGTTTAATCGCACATTTAAGCCGATCTCGTACGCTATCATATTAATGGGAGAGGAAGCGAGTATCGTATAAATATATACGTAAAGAGAGGAATCTAAAGCTGCCAGAGCGCGCAAAAGGTGACGTTAATAAATGCGAGCCCGATCTTCGTGTTAAATAAATAAGAATTAAAACGCAGCGCGCAAATACAACCCACGATCTCTAAGAAATATAACTCGTTGTTTATTTTCGCGGCACTATTTGCACCGGAAGTAATCTCACGTGGTCACGCAAATCAATAGTCTCGTGGTCACTACGTAATTACCATAATACTAAGAACCAGTGGAATCACCGGCTAAAATCGTGCTTTCTGCAACAGTAGCGAGTGACGCTTATTGCAAGACAATGTGAAATTTGGCGCGCGGAATTTACATCGAATCTTCACGGTGATTAACCCTTTGAATTTAATCCCTCGCGTGAAATAATTTCTATTTATACATTCAATAATGTCTTTACACTAATGTAAATTTTAATATCCTGTTTATTTTACATAGGCGTGATGTGAAGCCTTCATAACGGATTAGGGAAAATATTTTAAATATTTTATATATAAATAAATAATTGGACTATATGAGCCAAGCCAGATAACGGAGGCTAACGATATATTTGAAATTATCAAACTATATATACAATAACTTTAAACAATAACCTAACAAATAATAAACACACGTTTCGACCTTTAATGCAGTCTTCTTCAGTGGTTTAATAATGACGGGTTATTCACGCAACGAAATTAAAATGTTGAACGCTTTACAGTTGTCTAATTAATGCAAAAGTCATAGCCCTAATCGCTGCAGCAGAGTTCCGAGATGCATTCCATTTGAGCATTGTATATCTTGAACAGGTGTGACCAGTAATAAAATATTTCATGCTAGGCGAGGCGAGTAAACGTAAAGAATTGAAATTTTATATTGATGCGGCAGAAAAAGAAAGAGATAAATACCGCGTAATAGAACTGCAAAATTTAATATTTACGGCACTATTTATAGAACTATGAGAGATAGAGAATTCATGTAACTTCATAATCCTTTGACGCAAAACCGTCAATCTTGGTCTTTACGAACGCATTTAGCTAAGTCGTAAAATAGTGATGACAGGCGATAAGAATATTCAAGCTAACGAATTATTCAAATAAAAATTATATCAAATCGCTAGTTTGACAGTTCGTGATCCGTTCTCGAGACGTTTCGCGACGTTTCATAGAGCCTGCGTTCTCCATTGAGCCGAATCGTGCAAGAACCTCGTGGAGAAAATCCGCGAGGAAGCTTTCGCGGTTCGGAAAACGCATCCGATAAGACGCGACATCGCGCCTCTGCTTACTAAGAATAGCCAAAGAAATTTGCGTTGCTCGACGCAGATGCCAAATTCTCCCTTCCCCCCAACTATTCCCTCTTCTCTCCGCCGTTCTGATGTCTTTCCTTCTTTCGCCATCCGCACCCTCCCCAACCGTTCTGCCTCTTCTCTTTATCTATCACTGTGTCCTCCTTGCTATTTATTTTTATGCATCTTCCTCTACACTGTTGGAATTCTTATTCCTCCTCTCTTTGTTCTATCGGGTTTCTTGTTTTCTATAGCGATCATTATACCTCTTTTCTCTGCTGCCACCCTTCTACTCCATTCCTCCTCCATTCTCTCTTTCTCTCTCTCTCTCTCTCT